ATAAATTATCTTATAAAAAAAAATTTCCCTTAACTAAATAATCATTTAATAATGTAATATGATATAATATGAATTATAAAAAAAATTATTATAACAATTCACTACTTTAACGATATTCACAATCATCATATATATTTTATGAGAATTCCTAATACCTCAAATAAAAAATATAATATAATCTAAATCATATCAAATTATACTATACTATCCATTAAATAAAAATAAATCCTCTAATATTAAAAACTCTCTTAACAATTCAAGATTTCTTGTTTTCTATTTTACAATATAATCCTGATTATTAAACAAGGTTTCCTACCTATAAAAGCTAACACATCACACAAAAACAGATCACATAACAAGAATAAACTGACTCGTTTTATAGGTTTCATTTCATTTACACCGGAGCTGAGAGATTTGATTGAGTGGAAAGTCTGGCTACCTTACAAAATCATGGAGAACTATTTAATTTTAATCAAAGCCAACAAATTAAGACTTTGTTTACATATTGTTGGTGTAGTACGTACCCACCTAGTTAAAGGCAGACAATATTTAAGCTGGAACAACGAAATTCTCAAATGATTATTTTCTCTTAACCTTGCATTCAAAAGGAAATTAGTCTTTGGCAAAAGGAAAACTAAAATTTTGAGGCTGCATGGCATAACCCCTGTAGTTCTAACTTAGAAAATCCCTTTAAGAAGATTTGCAGCAGTAGAAATGGCAGCTCCAGTGATAGCACAATGCACCACCTGCTCTTGGGTGGTTTCCTCTGATGTTAACGCCAATGCCATTCCTGTAACTGCTCCTGCCACTGCACTGTTTTTCTGCATAAAAACTCATCAGTGTCATTACAGATTATCAAAAATACATAAAGTATCAATGCCAGGATTGAGAATCCAGCAGATCAATTGTTATACCACACTGCTGAATCTAAAATCATTCATGTGTCATGTTAACAAATTTGTCTGGATGATACCCTTCAATTGAGATTATGTATGCTTAAAAGTCTATACTTTTAGTAGAACTAGTTAATTATGGTACAGAACAACTTCTGCAACATGCCGCGACTTCAACATCCTAATGTTTAGAGTCTCTTGATGACACCTACTAGCGCCTAAACATGAGGTCTATGATGAAAAATCTCAGATTTAGAAGAAAAATCTCAACTGAGATGTGCAAGATGAGAAAGTTGCTTGATCCTTTAACCATAACAAGAAATGTAGTCCTATATATTTGTAGTTTAGCCATTACATCTACCTTCCTTTTCCTACTTCCTATTCTTAGACTTCTCACTTCCTTCTTTACATTACCCCTTGAGGAGTGAACAAAGGGGGCCTGTGTATATCAGCGTTTTGTAACGAGACATTTTGTTCACTCCCTAATGTCAAGTCCCACCTGATTATATGGTGGTTGCTGAATAACCCAAATTCCATTAAGAAGGAACCCTGACAAAAAAGAACATATAAGAGGGATACCGAACTAACCCAATCATGAGCTCCACGAGCCTCCTTTAGACCATACGTTAGGCCTGAATATATACCAGCAGCCAAGCCTGCAGTTCATAAAACAAAGCTATCAGCTCTCTTTCATCACATAACATGTGAACTAAAGTATCACATAACATGTGAACTAAAGTTAGGAATGAGGCCAAACTATTATAGTTCTATAACTGACTGCAAATTTGCCCGTTAAAATCAACAATCGAAATTCATTAGTATCTAAAGCCAAGCACTGCAGTACTGATAACTTGTTACCAAGAAAGTGAGAAACTAACAAATTATGAGTCTATGAATTAAAAGCTATAAACTTACCCCATTGTAGAGTCTCCTTTCCAGTGTTCTTCACCTATAAAACATTGTAATAACTATTCATTAGTCCAAGACAAATAGTTAGGTAAACAAGCACAGAATCCATGACAAAACTGTTCCAATCTTGAAAATTTGAACATTCCAACAGATTACATAATCAGTATCAGAAAACTCTTAAGAGAGTATGAGCATAAAAACTTGATTTAGAAATTCACATTGAACGTTAGAACCTAGAATAAGAAAATTACCATTACTTCGAGAGATTTGCTGTTGGTTTCTCCTGCAAATTAACCACATATATAACAAGCAAATCAGAGTCCACACAGCAACAGACCACTAATTAAGTAACACTAACACTCCTATGGTATAAAGCAAAGAGGTTTTTTCTTCTTTGACATTTAAGCAAACAATTAAATTCCACAGGATGCTTGCTGGTATTCTTATAGATCAATGCTAGCATCAGTGGGTACACTACACTGCAGACCTTTGAGACGAGGAAAGGGATGCGACTTGGCACCACTTGGAGTGCTCCTTGGCGAATTACTTGAATCTGTACCTAACAACAAACCCACATGCCATTGAGTTCAAATTTAATCCCGGAAGCAAACAAAATTAAAGAAAACGGAAACCACTGAACTATATATACTACATACTATCAACAGCTGCAAAGTAAGCGTCCCTCGACACAGCATGAATAGCTCGAATCTGCAAAACTCACCACTGAAACACATTTTGAAAGAAAATAAATAAATAAATAAAGAATAGAAACCCAACTCGTGACAAGAGAGAGGATTACACAAGCAGCTTTAACAAAGCTCTCGGCGATGCGGTTGAGGAGAGGATGACCCAGGTCGAGGAAATCACCCTTGTCCTTGTCGAAGCCCCTGACCTCAACAGTTAATGTCCTTTCCAAGTTACTACTACCACCCATCACGTCCTTTGTGGGTTTTTCTGTTTCAATGGAAATTTCTCGAGAGAAAGGATTCATTGCAGACTAGTATGGAAACGAGGAAGAAGATAATGGAAGTGTTAAAAATGAAGTTAAGGGAGTACGAGGTCAGAGTGGACAGACACGTGTTCACGATGGCCTTACGTGGCTGCTCATCGTAACTTCCTCGTACTCGTGGCGGTTCTTTTAGACTGATTTCGCCGCGTGTCTTGACTTTCGCTGTATTTTTGTTTTTTGTTTTTTCTTCCCAGGAGAATGAACGAAAAACAAGTATTTTTTAATTAATTAAATTATAATATTTAAAATTTTATTTTTTTATTTTTTTAAATTAAATATATTGTTAGAAAAAAACTTTCACAAAAATTTTTTATTTTATTGTTGAAAATGAAAATTTGAAGATGATATCTCTCAATTAGTGTAAGAATATTCTCTAATACTCTAAATTAGTAAAAGCATCAAATTTGAATTCATATGAATGAGAAAGAAATTGATATCAAAGAAAAACTTACTCACCCAAAGGGATAAATTTAATTCATTAAAAACTTAAGATTGAGATTACGCATTAAAAGTTTAAAATTCAAATATGAAATTTAAGACTTAATTTAGAATAATTGTCGGTTTTAATTTTTTATTTTACTCTTTATAAATTCTTTGACTTTAAAGAGAAAATTCATTTTAGTTTTTTTGTATCTTTATAATATATAATTTTTTAATAAATTAGAACAAAAATAATTTTAAAGTATTACCACATTGAATAAGTTTACATTTTGATTTTAATTATATTTTTAATAGTTACAAAATTTATAAATTTTTTAAAAAAATAGCAATTCTAAACCGAATAAAGAATTAAAATTATACCTTTTTATATAACTTACAGTATCAGATAAGAAAAAAATTATTCAATAAAATAATTTTTTATAAAAAAAGGAAAAGGGAAAAGAAAAGGTGAACTAATTTATTACATTAAAAAAATCTAGAATCAAGTATCTCAAAGACAAGATTGAAATTGCAATTGAAGGGTAACAGGAAATTGTAATTTACAGGGGTCTATAAATATATGGGTTCAGCTACAGTCGAGAAAATTTGGCTTTCCTAAACCAACTTCCTAAACTTTTTTTCTTCTCTATAACACCCACAATCACACCCACCACAAAACTGAAATAACCGAGGGACACTATGCAGGGACATTATATTTGAATCATGCCCTTTCTATCATATTCTCCAGTTCACAGTTCTAAAATGAGGCAAAACAGGTAAATAGGTAAGGAGAGAAAAAGATCAAAAGAAGATAACAATTGGACAAGAAGAGAATGTTTTACAGAAGCAACAGCTACTCGGCTCAATGCATAAGAAGGCCTGGTTGACCGGGGCTACATTACAAGTTATGGATTTCTTCCAACCCTCGAGTGCACACTATACAGTATCCTTACTCCACTCTACTGATGACGGAAAGCCAAATCCAGATTCTCTGCATTCAATTCCTTTGTTGTTGACCGTTTCTTGAAAAGGCCAGGATTGAATTGCTACCAAGCACATCCTTGAGTTGAATAAAACAAAAAGAAGATAAGTTATCCTGCTTTAAAAGATTCTCTGAAATAAAAATCAAGATCCATTTACAGCCATTTCCGGTGAGGATTTTGGTGGTATTAAAGGACAGTCCTCTCCACCTAGCTGCCTATTGTCAGAATTGCTATGCAAGCAATCTGAACAGCTTCTTGAAGCATGAGGTTCCTTTCCTCTATGCTTCTCATCATCTGAACTTGTGTTGTTATCAGAACTAATTCTGGGACTGCCAGATTCTCGATCCTGATGATTTTCCTCTACAGGGCCCCTATTCCCATGGGACGCGCAAGAAGCTACAAAAATGGTGTTTGTGGTTTTCTTACTGGGAATCACTGCCTGGCTTAGTGTTGAACACAAGGCAGCAAAGACACCGTCCTTTGATTTAGGGCTTTTGCCCAATCGCTGCTTCTTAGCAAGCTCAGGCTCCTTGTCCTTGGAAGCCAACTTATGCTTCAACCTCAGCGACTCCATTGTTCCTTCATCTTCCTTTGAGGATTCTGTTGGTTTCCTAGGAGGTGGTCTGTAGTCCTCATCATCATCATCATCTTCATAATCAACAAGTCCACCAGATCTTGGGCTACCAAATAGAAATCAAAACCACAATGTGAATTACAAGTCAAACACAGTGTTCTCAGGGATCAACCAGAACAAGGTAACTTAAATACCTTAACGATGCGTGGCTTGCAGCAACTCCATTGGATAAAACAGGCTGAGATTGTACTTTCTTGGGATGTGATGCAGAAGCTGTATCTTCTTCATCACTGCTTATGCACCATATCCAGTAAGCAAAGGAGAATAAGATTCTGAGAATAAGTTTCAGCTAATATGTCAATGAAGAAATGCAAACCTGTCCTCATTGAAATAGTCTTCCTCTTCTTTATCCAGTCCACGCTCATCAAGTTTATTTCTTGGATCCACAGCATTAGCATTAGTTGTTGTTCCACAATTTTCTGACAACTGCAAACAGACCATTTGGCATCAAGAAATCCACATCTAAATTGCAAGATGAGAAAAAAAATAATAATAAAAGCAGGAAGTAGAGAATACCTGCTCATATTTAACTTTTAGTGCTTGAATAGAAGCCAAATTTTCAAAATTAACCAACTGATTCCAAAATGAATCAATTATATATTTAAGCAATGATTTGAGGTTTTCCTGCATTGGACAAGGTTATAAGCATTAGGTATGCAGATGGTAACTTCCAGATAATCAGTCTATGATGCAAAAATAACAAATTCAACAAAGTAGGCACCTTGCGGATATATTCCAGAAGTTCTAAAACTGCAGAGTTAAGCAAATTATACCGGTCCCCATTTGCAATGAATGCATCTATGATTGGTTTGAGAAGGTTGTTCTTAACACAATGGTTCATCAAGTGCTCATCCTGCAAATAAAACTTAACCTTAATAGCAAAAAAATTGTGCAGGCTCCAATTGCAATCACCATAATTTCAGGGAGCAAAAAGAGGCCAAAAAGGTGGATAGAATGCTCCATTAAAATTTACAATAAGATACGCTCCTAAAATCAAGATAAAAACTCTGAAAAATGAAAAGCAGCACAGCTACAGCAGGCTACGGAATGTAAAAGAAACTCAGATAATAATATAGGGATCAATGCATCATCATCCGGTGTAAAATTTCAGACACTTCCATTTAAGTTACTTGCAAAAAATTCAGAGAAGAGACAATTGCACAGAAGATAGCTTTTGAATCCACACAAATGTCTATGGTAAAATCCATTGATGAAAGATAGAAGGTAATGGTAAGCAAAAAGTATCATCCTTGTATCTCAATCTTAAATGATAACATATTATTTTGACTACAACTCTATGATGAAACATATTAACAGAATTCACTTACATGGCGAGAGAGAATAGTGCGGACAAAACGAACAGCAGCAACTACAAGGTATTTTTCCCTTCTCTGTGTCAGCAATAAAACTTTGTCTATGACATTGCCAAGGAGAAAATTACACCTGCATAGAAGGATGAAAACCCCATTTCACATTCAGATCATTGGCAGCAGGAACTAGATCTTAGATGAATGAAAATCAAGCATCCAGTGGATTACTTTATTCTGTAAGGATGGTGTAGAACACAAAAGCACAGCAATTCACATATGTTTGACAGTATTTCAGGTTTTGCACTATTTTGACTTTCAACCCTTCCCGCACTGCCCACAGATTTATTTGACCAGCCAACATCGTCTGACAAACATGATACTGTAATAACATCTATGAGCTGACCAAAATGATTCTCATAGAAAATGTCAATAATGGTATCTCTCTGCAGCAAAAACAAACAAGGGATCAAGCACTTAATAATGAATAAATGTAATGAAATATAACTGTTAGCCAGACCAATATGGAGAAAAGAAATTAAAATATTACATGAAAGTTCAAGGCAAAAGTTTTCCAACAGTCAGCAGATAGAGACATATAATAAAACAGAAATCAACATTCAAAATTTTACACCTGCATAGATAAACTCAAATGTTGGACTCCCAAGCGAACATAAATATGATGCATCAACATACACAATAATCAAAAGATATGCGTCACTCTTTCTCATCATACCAACTTTCAGGCTACCAACCAAGCCACCCACATCCCTTAGAAGTTATGGGGCCTTAGTTCAAGACATACATCATGTGGATGTGGCATGTAAAGGGGACGAGAGAGAGTTACTTCTCATAATGAATTAAATATATATAGGAAGCTTATTTATATTATAATAAACAAAACAAATCTTCTAAATGTCTATCAGGCTAGTTATGCTCAGAAAGTTCTGACTTCAGCTCAAAGTCAAGCCCTTTATCAACTGTTCACCGTATTCTCTGCACTCCATGCATAGAAACCAGCACTGTGCAGAAGACAAGACACTTCAGCTTGTTTGCAAGTTCTCAGCTTGAACCAAGCCTGAAGACTAATTCCATACAAGCTTGAGTTTTTCCATGACCATTAATAGAGAATGGCACTACATTCTTGTGCAAAGTGACTTAATACAAGAGATGAGGATGGCACAAAAAAAGTTGGGAGTAGATAAAAAATGAATAAATAACATAATCATAAACCAGGGACAAAATGGAGGAAAACAATTCTCGTGACCACCCAAATTAGTTTCACTTTAGTATATCTCAACTTTATACAGAATTTCCATGTCCATCTAGTATCCTTAACAGCAAATATTATATAACAAGCCTAAGGAAATGAAAATCAAGATATGAACCTGAGCTCCTGATAATGTGTATGAATCCAGTAAGATGCGAAGGATTTCCAGAAATTGGCAGTGCATATCCTCCCCAAAATCTGTTATCATTCCTTTAACCTGTGTAAGTAAACAACTGGATATATTAGCTATTTACATGTACAAGGATAAGAATATCATAAGAATATTACTCCTGTTTCACCATTCAACCATTTACTGCATTAAAATTACCAGAATTAAGACAACATTATCCAAAAAGTTGATCATCTCTCAGATCTTATGCAGTTTCATATGGGAAAAAACATCATGAAGCATTCAAATTCAAACTGAATTCCATGCTAAGATCACATATTACAAATATACCATAAAATACAACCAAAGAGAACATCACCAGTCTACAATAAACCTAAGAGCTGAATATATAGAAGGAATCATGAAGTGCCCCAGCAATCCTAATAATAGAGTATCCAATACATTGACAGTCCACATATCAAAGAAAAAAGAGTGCCCTATATTTAGCCAAAAATGTACAAGTAAGAGATCGTTTGTTCAAAGTACTTGAATTTTGAAAAAAGATTATGCCACAAGGAAAAAGATTGGACTAAAGGAACAAATACAACATGCTGAAACTAAATTTACCACAGGGATTGGCAACACTTTAAGTTGCTCATGCTGGGAAACTAAAGATGCAATGATGATCACATACACACAAGAAATGTAGCTTCATCAATTAGTGTAACTTCACTTAAGAATAGAAAGCCAAGCCAAATACAATTAAGAAGCCAAAATAATCAAATACGCGCTAAGACTGAATTAGTAAGTAAGAATGGTTTCACGAGATAAGAGATCAACTGTATAAGGTAGAGAAAAGGTTTTCAAAGTTAATAAGGGGTTAATTACTAAGCAAACTTTTTCTATGGAAAAAGAATATATCTTCAACAGGAATGACACACAGAATTCAGATGACATTCTTGACTCCATTGTAAACAAAATATAGAATAGAAAAATAGCAAACTCACCAGAATATAGGTTAAGATTGATAATTATGTATACTATATTTTAATGAAGAGAAGGCCAGACATATATCCAAAGCCAAGCAGTTCTTAAATCAATAACTAAACATTCAATTGTTAGTTCATATCAAATTTTAGAAACAACATTTTTCACTATTCATTTTCTGAAGTCCTTCAATTATTGCGGTAATCACAACTCATTATGAACATATATGAGCCATCGTATAACGCTCACAAAAAGGGAGCTCCTCTGTTTATACTTTATATCACCAACAAACTCAACATGCATACCAGGAGTCCTAGTAGAGGGATGCCTTCCGGCTGAACAACATAGGAACGCAGAAGGCTTGGATCTTGATTTAGGAACAACATGAGGATGTCTGTCCTGCATACATTGTAGAGACCTTCTATTAGTGCTTGATAATTGACAAAGAACCATTCACATGCAAAAGAAAAGGCCAAAACAAACACCATAATTACCCGGTAAGCACAAGTTTTTTATCTTGACTCTGCAGGATATCAATGATAATATCCAAAATGCCTTCAGTGATGAGATCCCTATAATGATTAAAAATTGACTTTAGAGCATGATGTTCCAAATAATTATCTAAAAGATAGCTTTAAAGCAGTGGCTTCCAGGATCAAGCAAGTGAAATACATATCAAATCTCCAGCATTAACAAAAGCATACCGAACTAGCCGTAGCTGCTGTACCATCTGTAGGCTCTTGATTAAACTACAGAATTCGTGCAGGAAATGTACCTATTTTCATGAAACATAAACAATCATGACCTGTGCAAGAAACACACCAAGTTGAAGCACCATGAAAGGCAATGCAAGTATTATAATATCCCATGTGCTTTCAGTCCCTAATAAGTTTTTTTTATTATTTTTCCAAAAATCTATTTTAGAAAGTTATATTTTGAGCCTTATGAATACTTGTGCAATACAGTGATAGCAATAAAACCCATTCTCAACAATTACAACAATCAATGAAGGAAATAAGGCATGTGATCATTTTCTCTGACATCAACATTCCTGTATTTAACTTATTGAGTTCAACAGCACATGTAACCCTTAGGAAAATGACAACTCAAATGATGAAAATCTAAATCCCATATCCAAGAAAAAAAGAACTATGGAGTAAGCAAAAAGAAGAAAACAAATCTTAGTCTATGTACAAAGCACTTTCTATAACTGTTAACTGAAAAGCCAAAGAGAATCTTTAACAACAAATAAAAATAAATAAATACATAGCGCGTATATATAAAAAATCACAGAAAGAATGCCAACTAAAAAAGCACTTCATTTTGAACAATTACCAATTCTTTCTTTGATTCTGGAGATATGGTGGATGATTTCAACCTAGCAAACAACTCCTGAATAAAGGTACTGTCGTCTTTCAACAAGGACACAACCTAGAAAAATATAACATGGTTAGAGCAAAGGAAGCAGAAAGATTAATGAATTGATTAAATTCAGAATAGAGTTCCAAATCTTACATGAGCATTATTTGAATGAATCACTGAATTGAGAGTTGCAGCTGTGGATTCATCCAGAACTCTAGCCAAAACAACATCCTAAAAGAAATTGAATAAAGCAAGAATCAAATAATCAAGTAAAATGTAAGCAAGACTAAGGAAATCAGAGTTTATGATTTGTACCTTTAAATAGCCAACTCTATAAGTCTGGTGTATCTTTGACAGAACCATGGGATTTTTAATTGGAATAGCCTATAAGAATAAAAATAAATAAGCAATATAGTATTAAAAAAAGAAGCCACATGAAACAAAATTTTCACGAAATACAGCTCCTCTTCTTCTTATAAAATTTAATATGCCTACAAACTCTCTACCTCCAGTCCCCAGTCTACACAATACCAGCATCTTAAGCAGAAAGAGACATTTAGCCATATATTACCTCCTTAAAGACAACATGCTCTTTCAGAAATTTTCGGTAATTGTGAACATGAGGAACATCAGGATCATCTGCAAATCAGATTAGAGCAAATTCGAATGAAAAAACAAACTTAACCCATTAATGTAATCAACAATTTAGCAAAGGAATAGCAGAGCAGACAATGCAAGAGAAACAAATGACTCCTTTGCAGCTTTTTGCCAAGATTATAGAAGACAAAAATGACATCAGAAGTTACATCACTAAAGAAACAATCAAGCAGACAACTAATGGATATCAGTAACAACTAATTGACAATAAAGTCCATGAGAACGATCCTAAAATAAGGGTCAGTGCCAACTAAAACACCTAAACCTTATTTCATGTTCCGTTGGCAGAAAGCCACATCCAGTACCCACAGAAATGCATGTGGTAATTAAATGCTCACTTGTAATCCAACACAAAGTGTCTAATTATAATGAACTAATTGCAATGAAACTTACACTCAAGGGAACCAATAATATCCATTATTAAGTCATCCCCAAATATCTTCTCAAAAATCTGAGTACTATTGAGCAGTACTGCAAGTAAACAAAAACGTTAATAACTGATACCCAATAACTGCTTGCCTGGATGATAAAAAATGAAAAGTGTTGTCTGAAAAAAAAAAAGGTACTAACTGATCCCCTTGACTATTTTGAATATCATGCGAAGACTGTCATTGTTCTCCAAGTCTTCACAAATTTTAAATAGGTCCATCAGTTTGTGGAAAAATTCTTGCTGCATCAAGACAAGAACTTAGTTAGAGAGCATTAAACCCAAATTGTTTATAAACAGAAAGGATTGAAAGGACAAAGTCAAAAGGCAATTGAACTACGTCAAGACATATAATAGAAACAGGAAACCATAAGGAAAAATTTAGCACAGATCAATAAACTTAGGAAACATAATTAGAAACCAAAATAATCAGTTCTTTAACATAATCTGAAAAAAGGAACCACAAAAAAATCAAAATCAGCCAACCGTTAAACCAATATGCAAAGTAACTAGAGTTTTACTCAACTGATGGAGTTACTGCATTGTTACAATGTCTGTTCTTTAGTTTATCAATCTTAAGTCGATTTTTTAAGGACATTAACCTGGGTACACCTGGGTTTAGTTGTAATTACTCCTTTAGAGGAGTTTTGGAGTAATGAAGCTAACCATTCTCCTAAATACACACACCCTCAAAGTAGTGAGCTATTGGAAATATCAAAGTCTACAGATTTTTCAATAGGCAACAAAAGTTACAAAACCATAAACAATTTTTTTCGTCCAAAAAACTCAGCCCCTTAATACTTTCACCAAAAACAGAGTTATTGAAAATCATGCCCAGCCAAGGAACATGAAACTAAAGATGAAGTCAGTGAGAAAAAATATAATCAACATTGAACCAAGAAGAACTCAGGCATTAGGATAAGAAACAAAAGGAAATAGAATTAGGTAAGGAATCAAAAAATAAAATTCATTTAATTTTTACAATAAAGAAACCAGAAAATTTGATTAAGTACTCAATAGCCTAATAGCAATGCAAATAAAGAAATAGCCTAATAGCAATGCAAATAAAGAAATAGCCTAATAGCAATGCAAAAAAAGAAAGAAAAAACTGCGCATACACCCAAACTTCATAGAAACTTACATCGTTTAGTATAAGTTCTGTCAATCGCATCTGATCTGTAAGGCCACTCTCAGTCACAGTCTGCAAGACAGAATTGATGAATTCAATCAAATAAAACTGAGTACTAGCATGCTGACAGATATATTTGTACAAGTGAAATATCTTGTAATTTTACCACCAGATTTGTGTGTGTGTGTGAGAGCATGTGTAAAACAGCCAGGAAACACATAAAATGTTCAGTAAGCAACAATAGAAAAATCAGCAAGAATAAAACTAAAGAGTTCATAGCAAAGAAATCAATCATAAGATAGAATATGATAGAGAAACAGTAATCCAAACCTTGAGTATTAAAGGAAGAGTTGAAAGCTCAACAGCAGGCAAATCTCTAAGCTCTCTAGTCATGCTCTGAAATGTATCACCTGCAGCAAATCACAAACATCAGTAATCCCTAAACACAAGATAATGAGATCTTTGTATAATGTGTAACATAGACCACTCCACATGAATGTCCCCAAAAAAGAAATTATCAGCTACAATCATAAATAAGGTCAATTATCCATATAGTTTGTGTTGATCCATAAATGCACAACTGAAGATTCATACAAGTTCAATACACAAGAATTGCAAGCATGAGTAAGAGAAATAAATTTCTATTTGAGAAAATTTGAGAATGCTGGCTCTCAATAAATTAAGCCTGTTCTCATTGAGATGTTGCTACTTCTACGACGGAGAGGTATACTGCTGCCATCTTGCACGTTTGTATCTGCCCCAAAAATACAATAGGAAACAAAAATGAAGCAACTACATAACATCTCCAGCAGAAGATAAAAGTTTTACATTATTGTCAAGTGCCAACTACTGCAATTCTGTCTGCACAGAGCCAAACATATCCACTAAAAACCGAATTGAACAAACTCAAAGTTCAAAGCACCATAAATACTATTTCCTATTCTTGAAGCACTACAGCAAGTTAAGCTGATCAACCATAAAATTACTATGGAATGTGATGCGGGAGCATAGAGTTCTTTTTAATGAGTAGTTTTTGGGCTGTTTGTTTTGTATTAAGTTTGAGGTTTATTTGGAGTCTAAGTTTTCTTGGTTCCATCTTTAATTTTACAGAGTTCTTAGTTTCTGTTTGTTCTACCTCTATTTTCCCTGCATGCAAATGGTATCAAAGCTATGGCTGGTCATGGCAGAGGAAATAAAGGACAACAAGCAGAATTAACTGAGATGCAACGTATGATTGAGGACTTGTAACAAGCTGTGCAAGCTCTACAGTGATAGGAACCCATGGGAGCCCATATGGAGATGCCGAAAGGTGACCCTAACCCTGCAGACACACCAGAAGGTAGTCTGGAGGATGAGTCCATGGATGGAAGCGATGATAACCCTTTTCATGAAGCTAGAACCGCAAATCAAGCAGTAAGAGGTGGATTGGAAAAGTGGTTAATAAATGCCTTTGATTTGTTTGAAGAGGAAGGAGGTGACAAGTTAGAACCAGTTTATGATGTTTATTGTGATGAAATTGAAGAAGTGAACATTCTTTCAATTCAGGAAGAATCTTTAATGATTCAAGGAATGATGGCAATAACTAAGGAAGAAAGACAAGATTGGAGAAGTCATTCTTTAAGGGAAGACGATCAAGAAAAAAAATCTCTAGCTGACAGCAAGATAATTGGTTATGCATCTGCTGAGAAATTTGAAGTAAAAGTCAGGAGGCAGGAGTCATATATGCTATTCTAAATAAGCTGTCGGGAGAAGAACAAAAAGGAGAAAATTCTATGCAACCTAATGAAAATCTGCAGCTATTAGAAGAAATTAAAAGTTCAGAAAATAAGGAACTACCAGAAGAGATGATGCCAATGTTGAATATTCAGCATGCCTTTGATTTTATTCCAGCAGCAAGTTTAACTAATCTGCCTACCTACAAGTTTGAATTATACACAAAAATGGCAGACTCTTTTCCTTGTTCTAAAATTTCAGATGCCACACAAGATGTTGATTTATTTCTGGGAGAGGTGGTGAGAATACATTGTATTCCAACATCCATTGTTCGTTATACGGCTGTAAAGTTCAAGGGACATTCTTGGAGGACTTCATGGAAGAAAACTGCTCCAGATAAATATGATAAATACAAGACCTTCGCTTTGAACCTAGTACAATTTCCAACCCAGGGGGAATGATGTGGGAGCATAGAGTTCCTTTAAATGATTAGCTTTACTTAGTTTCTATTTGTTCTACCTCTATCTTCCCTGCATCAGAATGACTTCTTTATGGTGTCTTGGTGCTATTTTGTTGGACTTTACAAATCTTGAAAAGTAAATCAAGGATGCTCAAATCACAGGACTCAACAATTTCATATGAACATGACCAAATGAACAATTAACAAGGGACTTACAACAAAATGCAATAACCCCTGATGATATGATACATACTTTCAAATCAATAAAGTAAATACTAACCATTATAGTTGAACTGCAGATTTCTTTGCATATTAAAGATATAATCCCTGCATAAAGCAAAAAAGGAAAATGTTAAGAAAGGCAACATGGAATTTTGGAAGGGGCACAAAACTTATAAACTAAAAATGAAATATCATAAGGTACCATATGTAAGAGCACCATGAAGTCTCTTGGAAACTAAGTGCTAATTCTGCATTAAGATCCGGGTCTCTCCAGGATATAATGTTGTCTGGAAAATTAAATCACATATTATTTAATAAACTGACAATTTCAAGTACTCTGAAAATAACATACAAATCAGGACAGCATTTTGCTAATACACTGGCAATGAATTACGAATACCTTCTTGTTTTCTATAAATATCATCTGGGCTGATACGATGCAAGAGTAATGTCTGATTGTCTTCTTCGTCAACAACAAACAAACCCGGCTCCTCAGATCTCTGAATCACAATATTTTAATTCATTTAAATTTCATTCATTTAATTTAATGAATTAAATCTCACTAATTAAATCCAATATAACCCACCTGGAATCATAAAAAAATAATAATAAGTTCAAAGATTAAAACAGACCTCCAAATAATCAACGGTGACATGTCCTGTTCCTCGGTCATCCCATTTACCATCATTATTGAGACGGTAAACCTTCACCCGCTGATTTAAATAATATAAAGAAAACAAGCAAATACCGGGAGATGTATAACAAAAAATACAATGATGGAAATATTACAACAAAAGAATAGGAAATAGTATGCAGAATCACATTCACTGGAAGCAAAAGCTCAAAATAATTGTTTAAAAAAGCCACTCAAAAACATACTAGATAATTATTAAGATCTCTCCCTTTCTAGCAAATGTTGCATTATGCTTGTGATCAGTAAAAAATTGAAAGTGTATAAAACATTAAAAAAAAATGGACTTTTCAAACTTCCAAAGCTAACGAAAGTCGCAAAATAAGACCATAGCATGTTAACATTCTTTACAATATTCTGTTCCCTGACCTACATTTTCACCATTGCGGAAAGAAGAAATTCCATCCTGGAAGCTGCTGATTAGGCATTCTAAGTTTCTAAATTTCAATAGAATGGGAAATAGAATTGGAAATCAAAAAAGAACACTTAGATTTCTTAAAAGCACAATGTCAGTCATCTCAAATTGAAAACTACTGCCTGCTTTCACCTCCATTACAACAGGAATCTGAAAGCAGAGTGAAAAATGCAATTGCCACATTGTAGCGTGGACAATAATGATGATAGAGAAAGTAGAGATTCTCCAAGGTTACCCATACAAAAGATTTTCAAACCTAGAAGTGCCCATATAATAAATGACACACAAAGATAGGAATCATAGGATTTAAAGAAACAATGGGGACATTGAAGTAAGAGTTTAATAGGCAGGTTAACTGGATACTAGCACCTTAAAGTAAATAAGTACTAAGGTAGAAAATATTAATTTTGAACTCTTAGCACCATGTCCCATTGATTGAATGTCATCTTTCCAAATTTATAAGCCTTGTCACCCCAAAATTCAATAGCATTTAACTCTATAAAACAAAGTCAGGCTCTAAACATGCACAAAATATGACCAGTTGATTGATCATCAACATGCCAAGACAAGCAATTTCCATATAAACTAAGCCTGACTAACTAATCAAAAGAAGGTGAGTCTCCTACCTATCCTTTAGAAACCTACAGTGGATTATAGATGGGCAGTGTTTCTTCGAACCACACCTACTATATTAAACTTCTGTATCAACTGCTTAGAGTATGCCATAGACTTCCAACCTAGAACCTCAATTAACAATATTTCTTGGTATACAATTGATTGGTGTATAATGCAAAAAATTGATATAAAAGCACAAAAATAGTGATTTTAAACCAATTTCACTTCCCCGCCTGGCAAATCAAATCTCAAATATCCTGCTAAAACCCAGCTACAGTATACAAATCTCCACTCAAATTTGACCATGTAGTATATGAAATAGAAAGTATAAAGTACGAACTTTGCCCACCAGAAAAAAAAAGAGGGAGGGGGGCTAAAAACACCGAAAACCTAATTAAATTGAACAAAACAACTCCATCGCTTTAAATTCAAAATCAAAAGCAAGCTCAAGCTTCATGAAAACAACCAAATAATAACATGAAATCTTACACAGAACAAGCTATACGGCAGAAGAACAAGATTTAATACAACAGCAAGTTCTACACAACTAACCTGCATCGAACTGTGGTTGGTTTGCGATTTCTCTGGTGCGCCCATCCCAGCTCTCCACTCTCGCATCAAAATTCCAAAATCCCAAAAAAAAAAAAAAAAAAAAAAGCCAATTCGAAAAGATTGAATCGAAGAAATTGAAAGAGAAGGAGGTCGAATTAGGGTTATAGGAATACGAGAAGAAGGACAAAGCGAACGGTGTGAAAGTAGGCGGGAGAGATGTCGTTTAGGAGGATCAACAGAAAACCCTAACCGCCATTAACGTAGTCAGCGTAAACTCGATTTTCTCTCTCTTTAGATTTTTCCCGAACAGGCGCCTGCCCTCAACCTTCGAGAAGAGAATAAGGAAACCAAAGCAATACATAACCTGATATTATTAGTTATTAAAATAAATAAGAATAATAATGCATTATTGTGTTGGAAACTAATGTTTTTATAAGAGTTTGTTTAATTTGTACATAAAATATATGTTAATAGTATATTTAATATATTTTTTATTATAAATTTAGTTTTAAAAAAATTAATTTTTAATTTATTAATTATTTAATTAAACTCTTATATTAAATTTAATATCAATAAAATAGTGATAATTTTATCAACAAAAGTAAAATAGTAATAATTATAAAATATTGAAAATTACCCCTCGTTACAAAAAGGAAGAACCATTGAAAGGCGCACTTACCAATCATGAATGGTCTACTTTGAAAATAAGATTTTTCAAAATAAGCCACAATGCAACCTAGTAGTGCTATTTAATCATGGTAACCAGGCATAATCATGGTCACACGATCAAAATATTAGGGTTATACAAGTTTTTAAATATTATTTATTAAAATATTTATTTTTTTCATAAAAATAATTAATAATTATAATTATTAGTTAACAAATAATAAAATATTTAATATTTATTAATATTTAACCAATTAAAATAAGTCTATACACTTATATTTTTTAATACTATAATTAACTGCCTACAAAAATATATGTCATCATATGTCATGTATGGTTTTAACAATCTAGTATGTCGCCATAACACACCCATTGGACAGTTACAAAGCCCTTTTTTCTTTTTATGAAATAGCAAATATCATTAATAAAGAGAAATATGGAATATGTAAAGCATTATATAAATGTATCAATGCTCCTTAATCTTAAAAAGGGGTTAGTGAATTATCATTGTATTCCAATAATCGCAACGCTTTTGAAAACCTCAATAATCACAACTTTTTTTGAAAGTGTAATAACATCTAAAATTTTAAGATTCAAATCTTGACAATCTCATTTTTCACTCCTTAATTATACTAATTAAAAAAGAAAAAAAAATCTTAAAAAGAGGTTATTATTACATGGCTCCAAGTCTAACAACCAAAATGAACAACTCCAAAAAGCCCCAACCCCAAGTTATTAGGTGCTCCATAAAAAACCTAAACTAAGCCACCTGATTAGGTAAAACCCCACCAAGGACAAGTTCAATCCAACCCTGCTTAGTGAATGTATTCAAAGCTCAAACTCATTACCATCCTTTAAACAAATAGCCCATCCCGTTAAAAGAAACCTATTTCATTAGAACCCTCAAATCCTAAACCTTCCCTCAAAAATCTCTTCTCCACTAGCCAAAGATCCCCTCTAAAAAATTCAGATGGAATGGAGCATGATCTTTTGTAGAAAATCTTGCATCCACCATCACTGCATTCCATTGCCACTGCATGGCTAGTGTTAAAGTATGTTGTTCTCTTGTGAGTGCGATGAGCAAGTCATTGTCTTCCTATTAGGCCATATGTCTCCTCAACAACTAGCCCTAAAGAAGCCAAGGTCGTCATAGCATGTCCCCTTTCCAAAAGCAACAACCTCTCAAGTTAGTAGTGACAAACCCATTTACCCTATGCACCCTATCATCATCCAGTCAATGGCTTAGGTTCTCCTTTCTCACAGCAAGCCACAAATTATTATGTTAACAAATAATGCAATATAATTAATAAAAAAAATCCATCCCTCCCTTCCTATCCCTTTTCCTTTGTTTTACTCAAACCAAAAATGACCTAAAATAAATAAGTAAATAAAAGTTACACCTAGGCATACTAATATTGTAAAATTTTATTGTTAGAAAATGTTGTCTACCTTGATAAGTATTACTTGCTATATCAATATCCCACCACAATAATTGTCATTTTTAACCTAAAATTTGCAACAATGATTTGTTGCAGACACTTATCAACAATAAACCCTCTCGTAACAACTACATATATCAAACAAGCATATAAATATCAATTCACATATCTTGCTCAAAACAATCTTCATTGTCATAGTTGTAAAATATACTAGTTTGGAGTGAATTTTAGAACAATATATAAATAAAAATGTATGGTACAAGACAAATTGTACATTAAATATATAGTTTGCTTAATGAATTGATTAAAGTATTCTCAATGAGATTATTTCTTTTGTTATTTTATTAAGAATATTTTTAGTAAATTCGTGGACTAGATCTTAACGTATTGTACGGATGATTAAACTTAATCCCATATATAAATGTTGGGCGAAATCTTGTTGACCACCTTAAAGTTTAGGGGTACGACTGAATTTATCCAAAAAATAAAAGTTGTTCATCAGCCCTGACTTTGGTATATCCGCCCGCCTCACGGCCCCGACACCGCTTCACTTCCTCCCAACGGACTTCTCAAAGCACGTCCTCACTCCTCACTCTATATCTCCTCAGATCTCTCCCCAAAACCAGAAACCTCCATAGCCAATTTCTCCATTTCTTCACCTATCAAGATGCATTCGTCTCTCTCCTTGTCCTTTTCACAAGCAACGGCGGCAGCCATTCCGAGACCGAACTTCGCTGTTGATTCTCTGGTTTTTGCTCAGTCTAAGCCGTTAAACCTCCGTTTCTGTGGACTTCGAAGGGAGGCGTTTGGATTCTCGCCTCTGACTAAGTCTAGCTCCCTCCGAGTTTGTCTCCCTGCTAGGGGGCAGGCGAGGGGGAAGATCTCTGCTTCTGTGGCGGATAATGGTACTGCTCCGAAGTCGTTTGATTATGATTTGATCATCATTGGAGCTGGAGTTGGTGGCCATGGAGCTGCTCTGCATGCTGTCGAGAAGGTACTGTGAGTGATTCGTTCATGTTTGATCATATTAACGTGGTTTAGCCATGTCATTGATTTGAGCTAAGAAATAGCGGAGAAACTTAATTACTTAGTTACTACTTAATTAGCAGACTGAAGCTTTAATTTTTCTCTATAAGCTTGTTGTAATTAAAAAGTGTAATTTTTCTTACCTTACTCTAGCTAAGTAAAGCTGTTTGATGCATCCATAAACTCAAATTGTAGTGACAGGCGGCCATTGTCTCGCTTAATGTTTGCAAGTGAAAACGGCATTAATGTGGGAGAGGAAGTGGGCTTACTGGGAATGAAAATGACAATACATCTCCTTGTTTAACATTATTATTATTATTGTAGCTCTCACTCTTCTATGTGACTGTTTCTCAATGTGTTAGATTCAGTGTGTATGTAGCTGGGTATTGTTCTTTTGTATTCAGGTGGCTGATGGGCTCATCTTCAATATTACTATTTCAGGGTTTGAAAACTGCTATCATTGAGGGAGACGTAGTTGGGGGAACATGTGTAAACAGAGGCTGTGTTCCTTCAAAAGCTCTCCTGGCTGTGAGTGGTAAGATGCGTGAGCTTCAAAGTGAGCATCACATGAAGGCTTTGGGACTGCAGGTGACTAGATTTATTATTATTATTATTATTTTAGTTGATTATAGATATATATTCTTGCTTCATAATTTTTTTTTGCTTCATAATTTTTTTTTTCATTTGCTTGTTTATTTGCATAAATATGTACGTAAAATATCCTTACATTCTCATTGAGAAGTTTATACCATCATGTTCATTATCTTTTTGAGTTTCTACATTCTTATGTGTGCCTAGTCATATCAATTACAAAAGTGATCTTAAATTTCTGCAACCCTAATCAGTTTTTGATCGGATATTCTTTTTGTATGCCTATCTATCAAATCTTTTTCATCACAACCCCAATTATTTATTTTACCATTCTACTTAACATGTTGCTTAAATAGGTTTCAGCCGCTGGATATGACAGACAGGGAGTTGCTGATCATGCAAATAATCTTGCTTCAAAAATTCGCAGTAATTTGACTAACTCAATGAAGGCTCTTGGAGTGGACATATTGACTGGTGTTGGTACAATCTTGGTAAATCTAATAATTCATTTCCTTAAACAAAATGCATGCCCTATGGTCTTCTAAAACCTTAAGTATCATAACTTTATCAATAAATTTTTATGTACTCGTTCAGGGCCCTCAAAAGGTGAAATATGGGAAGGTTGGCTTGCCTGACAAAATAGTAACTGCCAAAGATATAATCATTGCCACTGGTTCTGTGCCTTTTGTCCCCAAGGGCATTGAAGTTGACGGTAAATATTTCTAGCTTTCTTTCATACTTAACAAATGTGTGTTTGTGTGTGTGTGTGTGTGTTTTTTTTAAATTATAGAAAAAATAAAATAAAATTCTGGTCTAATAGAAGGTTGAATGAATGTCCATCTGTCTGTAATCTTAAGTTTTCTAATGTCACAGGCTTTTGCTGATGGTTTGCTAATAACTGCAGGAAAGACTGTTATCACCAGTGATCATGCGCTCAAGTTGGAGTTTGTTCCTGACTGGATTGCAATTGTAGGAAGTGGTTATATTGGGCTTGAGTTCAGTGATGTATATACTGCACTTGGCAGTGAGGTAATGCGTTTCTTCCTCTTTTCCTTTTTCTTTTCCTTTTGCTCATAATGAATGTGCTTAAACATTTGTTTTGGGACAACATATTGGAATCTTCCAAAGTTTTGATATGTATAAGGATGTTTTCACATGTTGAGATGGTAGTTGATTACACATGTAGTTTTAATATCTTAAGATTGGTTTATTGGTTTTGATCTCTGAATGGAATCACACTTTTCTGTTTGATCCACATAAGCTTGCATAATCCAGAAAAATATTAAATTTAATTAGTGAATCGCTCATTAACAGACATACATGATCTGGAATTCCTAAATATTTTCATCTAAATGCATAAAATGTTTATGCAGGTTACCTTTATTGAAGCTCTAGATCAGCTTATGCCAGGATTTGACCCTGAGATTGGAAAACTGGCTCAGAGGGTGCTAATCAACCCAAGGAAAATTGACTATCATACTGGAGTCTTTGCAAGCAAGGTAATGAATTGCTTATATCTGTGTGCTCTCTTTCTTTTACATAAAGGTTTTATGATATTCTCTAAAATTTTCAATAGATCACACCTGCAAGAGATGGGAAACCAGTCACTATTGAGCTTATTGATGCCAAGACTAAGGAACATAAAGACACCTTGGAGGTAATACAAAAGGCACTTTTTGAAAACAATGTCGGCATGCAATGCCCCATGCATCCTTTTTTGTCAGTCATTGCAGCAGAATTCCATTTTGTGGGTAAAAATTTGTGATCTATAAAAATGAATCTATATTAAAAACATGGTCGCATTTAAAATTGTTCACCTTGCTGTTGACAGCTTCAGCCATGTGCATCTGTAAACAGTTGTGCTATTCTGTAAACTGGCTGAATGAAACCTTGTGGACTACTTCTCTTCCCAAGGAGCATCTATCTAGCTAATATAAATTACTAATTTGCTTGCTGTTTGAATTGCGGATCATGTTAAAACTTTAATTGAAGGTTTTATCTTGCCTTTTTTTCCATTGGTGAGTTGGATCTCTGTTCTTGACCTCATGTAACCACAAAAACTCAGTTACATTAAGGCTTTATTGTATTTTCAAAATTCCAAGTTGATCTCTATTTCTATAAACTTCCTCATATAATTATCATTGTTCATCAATGGTATCTTTAAGTAACATTCTTTTCTTGCTACAGGTAGATGCAGCATTAATTGCTACTGGAAGAGCTCCATTTACAAATGGTCTTGGCTTGGAAAATGTATAAATCTTCTTGATGAAACTATAGTTAAGAAATTACAGAGTTGCTCCCAAAATTAAGATTTTGATTTTATGTGGTGTCTTTTGCTTTTCTCAGATAAATGTGGTAACCCAAAGAGGTTTTGTGCCAGTTGATGAGAGAATGCGAGTAATTGATGCAAATGGCAATTTGGTTTGTTCTCAGCTCACTTGGTTGTCATTAGAATTTATATCACATGATTGTTTCCAATTGTTACTAATTATTAATCTTCTATCTAGGTTTCTCACTTATATTGCATTGGTGATGCAAATGGTAAAATGATGCTTGCCCATGCAGCCAGTGCGCAAGGAATTTCAGGTAAATGCTCACTGACTGGCATTTTAGTAACTCAAATATCAAAACTCATACATTTTTTGGCAACTTCATTTTTATTAATCTTTTACATAAATGTCTTGACATAGTGGTTGAACAAGTCACTGGAAGAGATCATGTGCTAAATCATCTAAGCATCCCAGCAGCTTGTTTCACTCATCCTGAAATAAGTATGGTTGGGTTGACAGAGGTAAATACTATGGGAACATATTCAATAAGATATAAAATTTATCTGCTTTCAGATCTAACTATTATACTTTGTTTGAAATTGAATTAGTAATGAGTCTTCCAATTTTTTTGCCATATTCCATTCCTTTCATTTTGCTTAATTTGTGAAATAGGACCTCCTATTGTGTTTAACATCTGAAATTTTGACAATGCTATTAACCTTACAGCCTCAAGCAAGGGAGAAAGCTGAGATGGAAGGGTTTGAAGTAAGTGTTGCCAAAACAAGTTTCAAGGCTAACACAAAGGCTCTAGCAGAAAATGAAGGGGAGGGACTTGCTAAGGTTATTTCTCTTTGACCTATTCCCATGTAGTGACTACAAAACCTGGTAAACTATAAAATATATCTATAAATTTATTTGTCCATAGCCATCCATACTTCTGTTGTAAAATCAAAATAACATCATGTTTTTCTGCTTGACTTTTGCATAATTTAATATGTTATTGCAAATTTGCACCCACTGTTCACTCATTAATGTTTTTCTTAGGTTTTCAGCTATGTCGCTTTTTTTTTTTTTCCTTTTTCTTTTTTCTTTGTGTAATTTGTCCCTTCTTACTATTTCCTACAGTTGCTTAGTTTTGCCTTTGTTATTACCATGCAGTTGATATACAGACCAGATAATGGAGAGATACTTGGAGTCCATATATTTGGGTTGCATGCAGCAGACCTTATCCATGAAGCATCCAATGCAATTGCACTAGGAACACGCATCCAGGTCTGTGTTCTGTGCTAAAATTGAAATGCTTATTATGACTCTTAACTCGTGCCCTCCTAAAGGAGTTTATGGAACTCTTTTTTCAATGTCATTAGTAACTTTGAATTTATGACTTCTTATTTTTACCATACAGGACATCAAATTTGCAGTTCATGCACATCCTACCTTGTCTGAAGTTCTAGATGAATTGTTTAAATCAGCGAAGGTGAGCCTTTGATGTTCACTTCCAACACCGCATTTGGAAAATACAGAGAAGTTACTTTCTGACTTCTCATCTAATGCATGGACCACATGATAATCAGCCTGCACCTCTTTGTATGGACTGCACAATCATTTCTTAAAAATTAAAACTACTTTCTGCATATTACATTGAATGTTATTACTGGCGCCTGTTTCAAACTAGTGACGAGTGTTTTTTCTTCCTCTAATCTTTTTAACTTCCTGGACCAGGTTCAAGCTCATGCATCTACTCCTGTAAGTGAACCAGTCGCAGTCTAAGCTTGTCATGACTCAATAGTATAAAATTTTTGAAGAACTTTGCTTGTATTAGGGAGTATCAAGGAAACATGCAACCCAAAGTCCGGGACGAAATCCCATCAGCTACCCCACAAGAGGAAACATAGTTAAGAAATTTTCATATATTTTGATGATAGTTGTGCCTGAAATCTTTTACAGCTTTGTATCATGGTTTGTTAAATTGTTATCAGATGCTTTACAGAGATACTTGTATTCATAACCATTTCAATTTGGAAGTTCCCACTTCTAGTTTTGACATTATTATTTGAAATAAAGAGGAAAAATTCCTATTTTTCCAGTTCTCCGTTTTCTCAGTGTTTGAAATGCCTGAAGCAATGTAGTTATTGTAATTTGTACTAGGGCTAATTGCTAACTTATTTTGAAATCCTTGCGCTATCTGAAGACTGGTCTGTGAAGGTTTTTATGAACCTTGGAAGGTGATTCTGCTGATCCAAGGGCCTCAGGTCTTGTTTTCTTTATTTATTTATTTATTTTATTAACTTTTTAATATCCGGTAATCACATTGTGTTCTGACTAATCTAAAATCAAATTACGTTAAACCCCATTAGGAGAAAACTCATCCAACGCTTATTTTTTCATTTACAAAACTTGAACTCAAGATTTTATTTAAAGGAAATCAAACTCTTTCTATTTAGACTAACAAGTAATTGGTATCTTGTTTTTTTTAATTACCGTCCTGCTGGCCACCAATCCTTTCTGAAAAAAATAATAATAATAATAATATCAAACAAACCAACCAACCCCCAACCAACTAGGACGGTCTTGACTAGTGATTGCCAATTACCAAATACGGTCTGTATTCCCAACTGGTAAAGGCAAATTCATTTTTCAAAATGGAAAAATGTCTTTATTAGTTAAAATTGCAAAAAATAAGATAGGAAAACATTCCACAACGCCGTTTCAAAGAAGAGTTATGGAAAAAAATAAAAAAGTATTCCATGTTACCTTAAAAATATATTATTTTAATATTTTTATAATATTTTATTAAAATATATAACTTTAAAATATTATTATTATTATTATTTTGTAAATCTAACTTATAAATGCTATCCTTTTTCGAAATATAGAAATTATAAGAAAGACTTATGATAATTAATTTTATATTATCAAGGCCACATACACCGTAAGCACTGATGCAGTAACTGAAAAATGTGGTTTGAGAATTAACTTTAATTGTGACTTCTCATTTTCTTCTTTGCCACGCTCTT